ATCAATGGATAATTTCTAGATGCACATGGCCTACTGATGGGGAATGTACTACTGTGTATGTTTATCTTATTGATTGTTAAATAAAATACTGTTTGGCCAATGAAACGGCAAGTTAGGCAGGACTAGGAGTCAAAGAGGATTCTGGGAAATGTAGTAGAGAAGTGATGATCCAGACAGGAAGTGACATAGCAAGGAGACTCATATTTAAGCGAAGGAGAACCAGGAAGGGCTCTTTTCCCCTCCACTCCTCCAGCAGCACAATGTGATCCACCAGCAAGGAGGGACGCCAATAAGGCGTCCGATAAGATAAGTCTTATAAAATATATAGGTTTATGATAGTTAAGACTGAGCTAACAGATGAGAATCCTAGTCATTGGTCAAGCAGCTTTGAACCTAATACAAGTTTCTGTGTATTCATTTGGGCCTAACTCAGGTGGGAGGTGGCGTAAAGCTCACACATGGCGGTGGGGCTCAGGCAGCTTTTGGCAGAAAGATTAATAGTAGCAGAATGGTGTCAGTGAGTGGGATGACTCCATGCCCCAAGGTTCCCAGAGAAAGAGGGAAACCTGCCGCCACAGCCTGCCCTGTCGGGCCACTGAGAGGCATCAGAGCAGTTTCCATATGCTTGCGATGTCCCGGTGCTCTTGGATATTGGACTTGGCACTCCCAAGATGATAAAGACAGATCTGGATGATGAAAAACCTCTAAAGGTTTACACTTTGTTTAAAAATATATGTAGGCTTGTGAGAGAAGGAAGTAGAGGCAGGTGGATTTCCACAGAGAAACCCTGCCTCAAGCGGCTTTTGGCAGAAAGATTAATAGTAGCAGCCTACCAGTGTAAAATCAAGATGAGGTCAATTTTCACAGAAAAATAACCACCAATAAGATAGAAACAGTAATTTAAGGTCTCTCACTAAAAACTCCAGGGCCAGGCAGAGTCAGTGCAAAATTGTACCAACTCTCTGAAGAAGACGTAACACTAAAATGCCTCAAATTATTCCAATAAAAGACAAGAAATATCTCTTCCAAATTCTTTTTATAAAATCAGTATTATCATGATATCAAAACCCAAGAGACCAAATGTAAAAACTATAGGGCAAGCTCCTTAATGAACACAGATGTAAAAATTCTCAATAAAATACTAGCAAACCAAATTTAAGACCGGATTAAAAAGATAACTATCAAGTCATCTTCATCCCAGAGATGGTTAAACACATGTAACTTAATAAATTCAATCCAACACAGAAATACTCAAGGAAAGAAATCCATTATTATCTCATTATATGCAGAAATGGCTTTGAAAAAAACCATAAAATCCTGAACAATCTAGGGACACATATGACATACCTCAACATATTAAAAGTGATGCACAACATGCTCACAGCCATGCTAAACAGAGAAATTTCAATCCATTGCCACTAAAATCTGTATCAAGACAAGATGTCCTTCCTTTCCTCTCCCACGCTACACAGTGCCTAAAGTCTTAGCTAGAGCAGTGAGAGAAGAGTCAGAGACTACAATTTTACGTTTAAAAATTAATTCTGCCAGCTAGCATACAAAGTTGTGCTTTTTGTTGTATTATTTTCAGACATATATCATTACTTTGTCTTATTTACCCTCCCATTGTTCTTCCTCTCCTTGTGACCTGTTTATTGTCAGTTTAAAGCCAAAGACAGAGTTAGTAACCAAAATTCAGCTCATATTTATGCTACAGATTGCTTCTGTCCCACCAGATAGAAGCTACTTAAGTTTCACTCTTTCAAACGTACCTGCCTCGGATACTAGAGCTATCTAATCTTTAACACATGTATTTGATTTTATATACAGAATGGGGACACTCTTTTACTATTTGCAAAAAAAAAGTGGTAAATGCCAATAAGCAATATTAAAACAAACAAAAGGAACTTGTCACAGTTCTGAAATACTAACCAGCTTTTACAGCATGGGAAAGCACATTTGATACACCACTCTTCAGAGAAAGATAGCTCATTTGAAGAAGACTAAGAGACTTTTGACCTCTGATATCCTTATACCATTCATTCTATACAGGGCTACTCAATAAATAAATAGAAGTTCTGAGATTAAACATGAGGTAATTGATATAATCTATCTAGCCTACTGATTGGAAGGAAGAAAATAGTCAAATTCTTCATTTGAATAAACTTGCAATTCAAATATGACATCCCCTCTTCTACATTTAATATCTATTAGTGATTAGTTTTCTAAAAATGGTGATAAATAATTAAAACATTCAATTCACCAAATTACAACCAAAACAAAGAAAGCATTGAGGGAAGCCTTACTCCTTTATATGAAAAGAATGCCACTTTAAGCTGCTTTTATGTTATTAGCCTAATAAAATCTGAAGCGATAAATAGACAGACATATAGGAAGTCTAGAACCTTGCTTCAAATGCTCCAACTTCAATTTCAGGTTCAGCCACTCAGCCTCAGAAAGATAAATCTTCTGTCTCTGCTTAATGTCCACATCTTCATGTCTTCTATAACAAATGAACTCCCTAGATCTTTGGTGACAATTTAACAATCAATGGTAGCAACTCTTCTACACATCTGCAGAGTACACACTAAACACATCATCCATGTGAAGACAGTCTAGATATTAGATGTATCACATACATCACTGCAGTGAGTCATAGAGAGGTATTAGATCATTGGACAATCTGCCACACTTCACAGTGGCAGACATATTTAGAAAAAATTAGAAGCAAAACTCAGTGGGGGTTTTAAGTTATTTAGCATTCTACTCTATAAAGAATTATACTTTTTACATTGTAGAACTGAAGATAAGTAATAGTTAAATCAATTTGTTCAGTCACAGATACAAAGGACTCTGGCATATAAAGAAAAGTCTATATGCCAATGGTGCAGAGAATCCAGCATCTTTAAGTTTGATTTACATAGAGACCCACTGAGAACTGGATCCTTGACTATAATGGGATCTGGTCACATGAAAGTCTGGGAAGGGAAATAGTGAATGTAGCAGATAAAAATTAGGTATGCTGATGAAACATGGTTTGGAACAGTGGATTTAATAAACATACTTTTAAAAAGGAAAACATTGTAGGTAAATAAAATGAGTATGTCTATTCTAACAGAATTAGGTAGAAAAATTGGGAAAGTCAGACTGGGGAGATGGTTCAGGGGACTTTCTCTGCAAGCATGAAGACCTTAGAGTAGATCCCTAACACCCACATAAAAGCAGGTATGATAGCACGCATCTGTAACTCCAGTACTGGGGAGGGAGACAGTCGGAACCTGTGAGCTCACTGGACAGACAGTGTAGCCAACCACCTGTGATGATGAGGTTCTGTTAGTGACCCTATATCAATAACGTAAGGTGGAAAGAAATTGAGAACAGCCTGATGCCAACCTCTGGTTTCCACATGTGGTCTCATGGGCAATTGCATACACACACACACACACACACACACATACAGAGAGAGAGAGAGAGAGAGAGAGAGAGAGAGAGAGACAGAGAGACAGAGAGACAGAGAGACAGAGAGACAGAGACAGAGACAGAAAGAGAGACAGAGACAGAGACAGAGACAGAGAGAGACAGAGAGAGACAGAGAAAAAGAAAATGAACTTTCTCCAATCATATTATCCAAAGAAAAGAGCATCAGGGTTTTATATGCCTAGTTAAAGGTAATGGAACCAGACACTATCTGGGACATTCTGGGTAAATCTCAGCTTCAGATATATCATATCCAAAAGCTATGTGTTGGTTTATGATATTTTTAAGGAATCTGGCATCTGAAACCCTTGAACAAAATGAAAACTATATTCCTTTTTAACATTCTTATTAATAAACAGGTCACTGAAGTAGCTGGTGTTTATTTTAAATAAGTTTGAAAACTCGAATTACGATATAAAATTCTTATAACATGTAAATTTTGTGTGTATGTGTGTGTGTGTGTGTGTTGAGTAGAGAGTGTGTTTATTATTACTTAGGGGAAAACAGACTGGATTAAAGCACACCTGTTTACTGTGGATGAGGAGGAAAGAGGGAAAAGAAAAGGAATTTGAAATGTCTGCAGAGCTCATTAGTGCCCTGTTACTAAATGATTCAAGGACATCGTTGGCTGTGATTCAAACAGTTGTTCTGTTCTAAGTAACATGACGACAATCTAAAGATCCACAGCTGGACTCTGGAAAACCCCATCTGAATCTTTTGTAATAAAAGTAACAAATTTTCTACACTGGCTGAATGACACAGGACCATCTCTGAATGAATCCTCTCAAATCTGGGAGCTCAGAAGGGCTGCGTTCTACAGTCAGGTGAAAAATGGTACTCTGGTATTAGAAAATACCGAATGAGTAGTTCTGAGAAGTTTCCAACTAAAACCCGAGGTAGTAAACATCTTAATTCATACAATTTGATAAGACACATTTCTGTCTCTAAACTCTCCCCCCTGTGACTGGGTTTCTCGGATCACCTTCCAATCAATCTGTGGACACTAGCCTTAGATGCATCATCAGCTACCATATACCATGTTTTTTCTTGTTCTGCAGAACATATATGCCACTGTGGATGCTACCAATAACAGTGATTTATCTGGACTTCCTCAGATGTACTCTGAATTTGTTCTTTGTCATACATCACTAAAATCTAAATCCAGCAGGGAACTTTCACGTCATCAATTTAGCTTCCATTCATGAAGAAAGTCAGTATTTTAAACACCATAGTAATAGGAAGAGGTTAAAATTGTAAATTTCTTTCAGAAGTATTACCATGCTCTCTCTACCTCGAATCTAAAGACTAAAACTTACTCTGCTAAGTACAGGTTGGCACATTTTAAATCAATGGGTAATTACAATGTTTTCCTCAGGGTCTTCAAAATGTTTGCATTGCCAGTGTCCCTATCACCTTTATGAGGCTCCATACAGCTATTCATCTTTCCTTCCCTTGACTCCCAGAGTTATTTGACTGCCAGGGAATGAAACCCAAACCATTTACTGTCAGCACCCCCAAATACTTACTGGGATGAAGCATATCTCCTTCAAATATATAAGCACTGTGAATAATTTCTTGTTCTGTTAGAGAAAGAAAAATAGTATTTTTCTTACTGACAGACCAATCATCCCTTCCCTGCAAAAATTCTGTAAGCAATTTTGCATGCTAAAATTTGCATGTGAAGTATAAATTTTCAGGTACATTCCTCTTGGAAAGACAGTGTCTAATGCACCTTCCAGTGCATGTTGACCACATCCTGGCCAAGGCTGAATACTGGTAATGCTAAACAGATCTGCACTACAGGAAGCAAGATGCCACACGGGACAGCTGTCAACACTCGCTCAGCACCCAGCCTTCAATTCAGCACTCACAAATAATTAGCAAGGAGCTAGACTTGGAAGCAAGCAGACACCTTATGATCCCAAAAGCAAAGGAGAGGAGTCTCTGGGTTTCTCCTTATGATTGCTGTGCCAACGTTGACCACAGTCTGAAGCCAGTCCATAGCTATATGACTGCTGCTTCCTAGCTCCATTCTGAAACATGTGATGAACATCAGCTTATTCAGTCTTCAACAATCCCAGACAATTTTAGAATACCACATAGTCACACTTTATTTTAAGGAATTGGTGTCTGACAAAATCTCTTCTGAAGACAGAAAAGTGACTGATTGATAAGTCATTTGAAGCATTTAACAAATATGTAATCCCAATTCCAGCTAATGGATTTTAACCTTTCATCCCTTCATTCAATAAGCATGTTATAGCATCTACAGTTCAAAATTGTGTGGCAAATGATACCTTTGTTGTGGAAACAGGGGCAATAAACTCCACATGCCTATTCACATACAACTGTATATTTACACAAATAGGTCTAGAATCTAGACTTTGCTCAATTAGCAAAGTAATTACAAGTGACTTCCAGATCTAAAAATCATTTCACCCAGGGCTCAAAACAATAATTTTTACTCTGCTTATAATTTTTCATAATTATTATGCAGTAATACAACAAAATAGATTATTAATCACTAAATGTTTACTGATATAACTTATGCAGTGATTCCCAATAACTAAATACTTTGCTTTCATATTGTCTGTATTAGTGGACAAGGGATACAGTTAACTCTGTTCTTACACCACTGGAGATTAAACACATACATTCAAGCATGCCAAGCCAGTGTTCTACCAGTGAGTTAAAATTCCAACCCTTAAAACAGAGTTATAAAAAATAGTAAACATTTGCACATAATTAAGACATGCCTACATTAACTATGCAAAGAATAATTAAATGTAATTATTATTTTCTTAAAGATTTCTTATTTGTATGTGTATGTATTTGTATATGTCTGTGTGTACATGCACATTTGTGTGTAGGTACTCGAGAAGACCAAAAGCTCTGGAATTACAGGTGCATTGTGAGTTACCCAAAAGAGATGCTGGAATCCTAACCTAGGTCTTTTGGAATAGCAGAAAGTGCTTTTAACCACTGAGCCATCTCTACAAACTCACATGTAACTATTTTTACAAGGTCTTTAAAAACATTTAAATTCAGATTACCACCTGAAAAAATGATTGATTGGTATTTTTTCAGTGTTCTTAACATGTGGGGAAACTGGAACCCATGAAATGGTGTATGTATAAAAGTACATTGATTTCTCCAGAGAAGTGTGTCTACATCAAACTCACAGCTTTTCACTCTCACCTTAGACATAATCTAATTAATTAGAAGCAAATTAGACATAAAAAGATGACTGGAATTTGATACACATTCATTGTTGCAAAATTAAAATATTGGTAGTAAACTAAGAATCTGGATATTAGAAATATTCCAAAATAAATACATCACACACTTCTCAAAATGGATAGTAGTCTGTGACATTGAATTCAAGCACACAACTGAAATAAACATGAGAATCCCCTCATGACTTAACTGTATTTCAGTCTTTCTCAGTGTCTTATTCCTTTCTACTTCTCCCCTGCTAAACTCTGATCACACTGTTCAAATCTACAAAGCTCTTCAAGTACACTGCACCTCAGAACCATTCCTGGTCATCTGCTTGTTTGAAACCTTTTCTCTCTACTTTTCACATCCTTGGATCTCATTTCTTTAAAAGTCAGGTTATTCAGTAACTGGTCCTTTATGGACACTCAGCAAATATTTGTTGAATAAACAAACAAAAATCTATGTAGCTATCTTATTAACCATGGGACCTTAAGGAAAACAATCAACTTTATCTAGTCTAAGAAAAGGAGGAGTAAAATTATATATAGTATGTCCACAAAAATATTTGAAATAAATCTGTCAAGTAAAAGCAGAAGCAGTTTCAAATTCTTATTTTCTAGAATGCAATGAAAAGTATGAATGAGCTACTAGCCTGTTATAATTCTTTTCTGAATCCACATTTTACTTGCTTTGATAACAAAGGTTCTATGACAAGGAAGGTATGCAGACCTCATTTCTAGGACAGCAAGCTATTCTTCAACTACTGGAGATACCATACTTCACATTTTCAACAAGTAACCATTATTATTTCATAAATTTCACTGTTAATTTTTCTATTTAAATTATTAAAAAGTAACAGATACAATTTAAGTCAAAACTGGGGGTTGAGTAAGATGAAAGCATTTTTATGAAATATGAGTGCAGTTAAAAGACACAGCAGGACAAAAGCACTAGAGGGTCTAACAGTGTCATGTGCCTCTGAAAAGTCAATAAATCAACTCAAGTTTCCTGTTTAGTGACTCGTCCATGTTCAGATAATTAGGATTTTACAGCAGAAACTGAAATTCACATTTGTATCTTCTCTCTCATTTCTCAGTCCAAGTTTCTCACAAGTCTAAAGATGGCTCCTTTCTGCCCCAGCTGTGCCAATTCAACCTGGAGTGGGAAGCACTGAGTTCTGACATCCTCAGAAGCTACCACAATTGCATGATGGAAATAAAACTGACAGTTCTGTCAGGGATGTGAGAAGAAGAACCAGATCCGTCTTGTTCCTGTGAAGATGTGCTAGCTGTACACAGCTGAAGATAATTAAAGCAAGTTTGGTGGATAAGATGTGCAGATACAGTTCAAAGACACATGTGAGAGGTACTGATAAATCCTTTGTTACTAATTTACTGGTGAATACCGTCTTACCAGAGGTTTGCCAATGCCAAGGAGGAAGCTGAAGAGACTTCACTGACAGACCACCCCTTCACTAAACATTTAGACTGTGTCTCTTTAGAGTCTAAAATCATTGCAAACCAATCTCTTCCCCCGGGTTTGCTGTTTCAGGTAATGAACTTAAGATGGTTGGCAGTATTAAACCCTGTGATAAGGGTGATAATACCCAAATACCCACTGATCATGTAAGTTAAGGGTCTGATCATTTTTAAATTACCTGTAATCTTCAGGGTAAGCTTTAATGTTTATGCTTCATTGATAATAAAACTAAGGTGCGATGAGGAAAGCTAAGTTGCCCAAAGACACAGCTGGTGAATAGCAGACCCAGAATTCAGACTCTACCCCCTTGCTCCCCTGTCTCTATTCCTCCCAAAATATTTAGTGTTGTCTACAAAGGAAGATATGTTAGGATGGGCGTGGTGGTTCATGAATTTAATCCCTCAGAGGAGGCAGGTAGATCTTTGTGAGTTTGAGGTCAATTTGGACTACCTACATAAAGAGTTCCAGGGAGCCAGACAACAACAATGGCAAAAGGGGGAAGCTATTTTCCTCTTATAAAATGTGAATTACTTAAAATCTCCACAAACATACCTGAAAAAATTCTAAAGCCTAAAGCAGAAAGTATGACCTGAGTTCTTTATGAGCCAAAACATCTCGATAGTACCATTTCCCATGCAGATGACTGGACAAGGAATGCATTGTGCTCCTATTCTGAACATGTGACTGTAGCAACACTGTAGCAGTCTTGGCCACTTACTGTGCCTTTGTGACTCTAGTAACTTTGCTCCAATGGAGCAGGCCACTTTGGGTAGCTGAAGAATAAATCTTCCATAAGGTAGGTCTTTTAGCTCTCACTGTAAAATATTTTTTGTGTTCAATAAGTTATGTGAAAGAAATATCTTCAAATAAGAATTATTTCCAAAGCAAAGCTTGGCTGAGGAAATATGTCCATTGATAAAGTGCCAGCTTCACAAGCATGGGGACTGGTGTTCCCCATGTTGGTGCACATTGTTAACCCCAGCACTCATGGGTGGAGAGGGAAGGATCCCTGGGATTCATTGGTCAGCCTCAGCCTGTTCTACTGAATTGGTTAGTACCAGAACAACAAGAAACCATGTTTCATAGGAGATGGGAGGTGTTTTTTGAGAAAGACCACCAAGGCTGTCCTCTGACCTCTTCTGCATGTATGCACATTCACAGGTACACTCCACTTTCTGCATGAATATACATAGAAGGAAAAACTCTATGGATTTCTAGTTTGAGATTTTGCATTGCTTTGTCCCATCTTGTGTGCGTGTGCATGTGTGTGTGTGTGAGTGTGTGAGTGTGTGAGTGTGTGTGTGTGTGTGTGTGTGTGTGTGTGTGTGTGAGAGAGAGAGAGAGAGAGAGAGAGAGAGAGAGAGAGACTGATAAGTTATAATCATAATAATTTTCATTGAATGATAAATTTAAAATTAGGAAATACAATATTTTAAAAACTCCATCTGACTAACTTTCCACTGAACAATGTTCTGTTGTCCATTATATACAGATCTCAGTGAAATAAGAGAAATGTAGACTTGATAATCTTGTCTCTCCCAGTTATCTTGACAGAAACAAGACAATCACTTTTCAAAATGGAGATACTGAAAATACTTACTTTAGAAATATATGTAGTCAAAAAAAAAAGAAATATATTTAGTCATTCACATGAAGACCATTTGTAAGTGATAAGGTCCAATCTTCCCCATTGTTAGTCTATGTCTTGTCTAACTTTGAACATGACTCTGTATAATAAAAGATCCCAGCTAACTTTCTGGAGCTCCAAGCAGTTATGGGGCTGATGAACTAAAAATGTCTTTTGGTATTTTAACTTAAACATGTTTTTCCCAGGTTGCCTCCATTGTGATCCTGGTTTGGAGATGCTCACTGGCCCTTATGA